TGTGCATTCTTTTGCCACAGATCATATAATGTAGGTTATGGCTTTTGTATGGTGTGCAAAGAAGCAGGATTGTGTGACTCACTACTTTAGGAAGAAAAGGAATTGGCTTTTTTATGTAGAAACTAAAAAGGAAATTTGTGTTTTGCATGTAGCAATGTAAAAACATCTACAACTTTTTTTTTTTTTTTTTCCATTCTTGGCACAGTTCATTTGTTTTGGTTCTATAAATTGGGTCTGTGCCTTCACAGTTTGTTCACAAGCAGGGCCTATGCTTCTCCAACATCCAATATTTATCTTCTCGATTCAGAACTGTTGGATCAATGACAATAGGGGTTAAAGCTTTGGCATTTTTTGTATGACTTGCCAAAGGTGAAATGCTTGCTGAGTCCTAGGGGCTGAGAAATGGCCTGTTGGGATCCTGGCAGGGTGCCTGTCCACAAGCTTTCTTCCAGCCCTCACCTGAAGTTCTGCATCCCCCCTACACAACTGCCCCATGTACTTGTGTCTGAGTTTAACCAGCTTGGATCTGCATTTGCTTAAATTTCCAATTAAGTTTGTACTAACATGCTGAATTGTAAACAGGCACAGCTGAGATGCAGGTACATGTTTCTTTCAGTATCCCAGTTGTATGTGTAGTAACCTCCAGCATAAGGGATGGGCAGATAGCCAGGAGCAGTACTGTCTTAAGGTTTCAGTTACAATCTTATTCACTTATATTCCCTTCACTAACAATTCTTGTATTACTTCATGGGGAAAAGTGATTAAATTCTGCTGCTGAATCCATTTTGGTAGTGAATGCAATGGCTGATCATACTGTTTGTGAAACAGGAAATCTTCAGGCTAGCAATGCTTTATTTGGGAACTGGTGCATTTACATATTGTGTTCATATGAATTAAATGTCTCATTGTCCATGAATTTGTTAATGCAAGTTTACATTTATTAATACAAGTCACATCAGAACTGATAGCTTCTTAATTTTATTATAGTCACTTGAATACAAATCAGCTAAAAGCCAACAATTTGAGTTCCTTGGGAACTTCTAATCAAAATAAATGCTAGGCTGCCTCTATCATGATACACCTCATGACCACAGCACCCACTTCTTTCTGGGATTTGTGTTGGTGCTTCATTCTGAGAGAGAGAATCCAGAGGAATCCAGTCAACAGGACTGGAAGAACAAAGAAGTATTTATTCCTTTGAAGTGCTGCAGAACGAAAATATTTTAACAGTTACATGGTACTTCTTGTTCAACAGAAAGAACATAAAAAGTCAATACATTGAATTTTTGATGTATTTGAGATGAAAACCCATGTCAAAATAGTGAAACTTCCCACATCTGGGAACCAAGATTTTAATTTCACTCAGTATTTACTTCCATGTATGCCTCCAGTCTGGTCCAGTTGGGGCATCAGGGAGAGGTGGAGGGGTGCATTTTTACTCCTCACTTCTGTTTCCCTAAATTGCTAGCCTCTGTCTGTGAAGAATTGTTACATTCTGCTTAGCCGGCTTTAACCTACTGCTGCATGCTAGACCATCATTTCTGTATGTACAGTGTCTTATGTCTTCTTCGCACCTGAATGTATTTCATGCACCCTGCAACTCTGCGTGTTCTGATTTTGTAATATCACTTCCTAGAGGGAAATGCATGGCTTGGCTCAGTACAAATGCACTTCCTGCCCTTACACCCAGAACTCAGACCCTTCTTTCTGCCATGCTCACAGAAGTGACGTGCCAAACATTAAGCCCGTGGTCTTTTAAGAAGACAATTTCCACCACTTGAGTTATGCTTGACTAAAAATTTTCTTTTGTGTAGATACATGCTTGAAAAAAATGTCTATTTTAATAGGAAACATGGGAAATTCCTCTGGAAATATGTAAAAGTTACTCAACTCCAACTATTCCCTTATGTGGCACTTGCCCATCCTTCCAAACAATAGATTAATACCATCAAACTCATTAAATGTAAAATTTAAATTATTGCATGAGAATGTACACCTTAGAGATCTGAAAGCTGTAGTGAAATATATATATACTTCTTTTTTATTCACTGTTTCAATTATACCACTTTCCTCCATTCAGTACTGTGCTTAAAATGTGTGGACTCAAAAGTGAGTTTTTAAAGGTATGTAGAGATTCAGATAGATACCAAGAGAGATTTACAAAAGCACCTAGGTGCCTCGATCCCTCTGGGAATCAGATCCTTGTGATACTATCTTTTGACAGGACAGTGAAGTCTAACAGTTTCCTTTTATCAGACGAGTTTTATTGTTTGTCACCTTTTACTGATGTGGGAGTAGGAGAGCTGATCCAAACGGAGCCTCATTTCTTCAGCTCAGTTTGGCTACTTCTTAATTTTAGTAACTTCATTTATTTGACTTGCAGTAGACCAACTTTAAATTCTAAGTCTTCTCAAAGTATGTATTCTTTAGAAGTGGTCTGGAGTGTCTGAATAACTTCACGTGTGATCTCTTGAATAATGTGTGCTGTGAAGAATATAATCTCAATAGTAATTATTTAATTATTGAGGTGAAATGAAAAAAGAAAATAGTAACTTTCTTTTTCCTAAGAAGACAGTTTGGAATACTATATTTATTAAATTCTGGTTTTATTCCACAGATTGAAGTTTTGTGTTTAATCTTTTTTATGCTCTGTACAAGTAAGAAAAGGTCTCTTCTTTTACATTAAAAAGAGTTGATGGACACTATAATACAATAAATGTGTTTAAGAGCAAAATATTTGTGGCTTAGAACTTTCCAGTAAGCAAAGTTTTGCATTCTAGCATTTTTCTGAGTTATCTCTTCAGACTTGTAAGAGAGTAGTTGTAATTGTCGCTGTAGAGAGCAAAAAGTTGCATTCATACACCCAGTTCCTATGTTTGCTTGTGGCTACAACTGTGAGACTGAAACTTCTGCTATGTTGGGAGGAGGAGACTGTACCTGTTGAAAATTAATAAAAATAAATTTATTTGAGAGAAGGGGTGGGGATTGTCAATGATGAACATGAATTATGCATACAACAAGTGTGTTGGATTTATAATGTCTTTAAAAATTAGTACCGCTTTAGAATGAATTTAAATGACACTTGTTTATGTTTCTTTTATCAAACACTTTCTTCTTACCAGCAAATTAGTTTTGCAGAGTTAATGCACTTGCTAACTTTTTCTTGTGTCCAATACCAAGAGCACTGGCTTTCATAAGACCAAAGAGATTATTTATTAGTTAGGAAGAAGTCTTTAGAGATGCACATGCATGCATTTTATGTATGTATGTGAGCATATCTATATAAATGTTTTAAAAAAAATATATGCACATAGTCAGACTGACTTAGATGTTGAAAATGTATATTCCACATTGATTTACCTATATATTTTGCTACTGGCCCAGATAATGTTATTTACAGTTGAACATTGCAAGTGTTCATGGAAAGATGGGAAATGTTCAGTTCCCATTAGCTGGAACTACTTTTTGTCATATAAATCCTCCTTTATTCTTCAAGCCACAATCAAAATTAAAATTCCGCTGATTTTTCTGAACGGTCTGAATATACAGCTTGCACAGCTTAGTTTTTTCCAGAACACCTTTAAATAGAAATCAAAACCAGTCATGAGATGTACTGCAGGAGTCTGTGTAACACACTGCAGGGCATACATACTGCACCCATGTTGTATTACATTTCATTGGTATATGCCTTCTCCTTTAAGCTTAGCCAGATCTGAATTGAAGATGTGAAACTGCAAATACTTACAACATTCATTTCTCAGCAAAACGGTGGCAACGTTCTCAGCCATATTCAAATGCTTTTAAACTATCTGACAACTTTGGAGGGGTCAGGTAGACTGTGTTTGAAAAAACAGAAAAATCCAATTTTCAGTTTTAAAATTAGTTATTTCTTTATATGAATTCTTTTGATCTGTCAGTCATCAAAAATGCAAAGGAATACCATCTTCAGCTAAAGTATTGCGATGGGAATGGGAAGTAAATCTTTAAGAAGACTGGTTGTTACAATCAATATTCAAGCAATTTACATGACAGGTACCCACTAACTGATAGAAATGATTTTTTTTTGTTTTATATTGGGTTTTGCTAATCCTGTTGCTTCCTGCCTGTGGAGCTATTGGTTGAAGTGATCTACTGGGGCCGTGTCTACTGTTCATAAAATCTCTGTGACTGATATGGATGTAATGAGGTTTTCTCCTGTTTCATAGTTTTTGTAGTTGTTCCCCTGACCGTGGGCTCAATGAGCACATTCAGACTCCTCAGGAAAAACAGCTCTGCCAGCTGAATGGCAGGAAGTTTAGGAGATTGTTTGCCAGACTTCTCTGGATGTTTAAACCAGTTGCTGCAGCTCTAAAAGTGATATGACTGGTGCAGTAGTGATTTTCTGCACTGAAGGTGGATGCCTGCAGGAGTTATGTACTGCAGATACTTTAGTGAACTCTGAAAAGACCATGCTCTAATACAACATGCATTTCTGCTAGTGTGTGATTTTCTCTCTGTCGTTATCTTCTGCAGGATTATATCTGTGGGAAACCAGTTCATATGACTGTGTTTTACTGTGTAATAAGGAAGTGTTTTCTCTTGTATTATTGAATGCATTTTGGCCCTAAAGCGTGCCTCAGTTTCCTGCTTTTATTTGTGACATGCAGTGGGGAGGAACACAAAGGGCACAGAAAGTGTGTGTGCCCCATGCCCACTAAGATTAGGACTGAAGTGAAATTTCTGTTGTGCCAGTTAGCAACTAGTTAGACAGCTGTCTGGCAGGGTCCCTTTTGATTCTGACTGCTGTCTGTAATTTCTAACACTGCCAAGAGGAAACACGGTTTTTATGTATTGGTCACTATTCTATGATGGGTTTCAAAATGGTATGCTGCAGTATTAATAGCTTTTCTCTTAGAATAATACATGCTCCCTGAAATTAAAAAGTAAGCCTCTTGTAGTCACTCTAGAACAAACATGTCATGAGAAATGCTCGCTTTAAAAGATGTTTTGCTCTTGTTCAGTGTTTGTCAGGTTCAACTCCAGCCATGGCTTCCCGGTGGAGATTGGTTCAGATGCCAGCATCCTCCAGCTGAAGGAGGTGGTTGCCCAGCGACAGGGAATTCCAGCTGACCAGCTGCGGGTGATTTTTGCAGGGAGGGAGCTCAGCAATGACTTGACACTGCAGGTAAGTCTCCCGTGGTAGCTTCGCTTCTGGACTGCTGCCAGCTACGCTGCCTCTGCCTCTAATGCTGCCAATCTGACATTCATGCCTGAGATCTAATAGAATAAATAGTGCCTGGGGATTCCTTGAACTTTACTCCACACTGCTTCATTAATTCTGACCTTCTTAATTATGCATTAAAACAGCAAGCAGGAAGGATAGAGGAAGAGAGAGAATACGAGAGAGAGAGCACGAGAGAGAGCTGTGCCTAGTGAATAAATGTTTACTGACTACAGAAGCAAGCCATGCACAATTTCTGTATCTGTTCAATTTCTATCTTACTTATTCCATTTGAATCTTAATGAAGAAGGATGTGAATAAATTACTCTAAATCAAGCTGCACGGTCATCACATTTTATAGAATTTGTAACCCAATTGTGACCCCTGGAGGATAGCTACAGGGCAGCTGCTGCGCACGTGCACACAGGTGAATGCGCAGCTGGAGGGATGGCTCCAGATCAGAAAAAGTGTACTCCAAATCACCGAACTCATAAACGTGTGAAGCTAAAAGAGGACCAGGGAGGATGGAAGAGCAGCTCTAAGTAGGCATTCGAATTTCATCTCCTGAAGGTTGGCTAACTGTTCTCTTCAATAAATGCAGAGGGTTGTTCACCTGTGGTGAGCAGTAGTAAGCATGGAAAGATCGGTTCAATTTTCTCTTCCTCGTTGTCTTCGCTACCATTACCAGTGCTGCCACAGTTGCTTTATAAATATTTTTGTTTATCCTGTATGTGGATTTGGCAGTTCACTGGCATAAACAAGGCTTAGTTTAAGATCACACATTTAAGATATTTGGGGAACCTGGGGAAACCTACTGGCCTTTCGACAGAATACGAATACTGATTTAATGAAATTGCTGTCCTTCTGCAGTGGTATCAAAGAACTGCAGGTGCAATCTGTAGTAGTGCAGGTGATTATATAAAAGATCCCTCACAGGCAGAACTATTTCAGATTAATTGGCACTCATATTTCAGAAGTATTGCTGTTCTTAGGATGGCTGCTAAGCAGGGCTCAGAAAGTCACTCCTGTATTGATGACCTATCACTATTTCTCCTTGAGTATGATATTTATTGCTTTGCAAAGGGTTTTAGGGAGTTTCAGCACACAAAGGAAGATACAGAAATGTGAATTGTTGTCAGTCTCCAATGTATCACCTGTGGATAGTGTTGTTGCATATATTCACAGCGTAAATGGCAAGGCAATGTGCTTCACTTACTTATATGTGAAAACATATATATGAAAATGTAAAAATACAAAACCCAAAAAAAGTAAACTGTAGAAGTTGTCAGTTGCCAGTTTCTAGATTTGGGTGTCTGTGTTGTTCAAAAGCTTCTCAACCACTTAGCATTTCCTGGGAAGCTGTAAGGATTGGTGTTACTGCCATTTTATGTCAAAATGAAACACAGATTTTGAGACCAGTTTTACACTTGCAACCAAGTTTGTTGTTGGCTACAACATACAGTCTGTTGCTAGGGTAAATTAAAAATTGCTTTCCAAATGTAGAGACCTGCTGATGACTTAATTAATTTCATTGGAATGTCAGAATTACCATGTGTAGTCATGACTTTTTATTTAGTAAAGTGGACCTGGATTTATTGCTTTGACTGTTGGTTTCTAAAGCAGATAGGAAGTTCAAAATCTGTTTCAGATGTTATAATCCATACTCCTGTATTTCAGTGTCTTAAATATTGCAATGATTAATATCATCAGCAGTGTATCAACAAAATTTTTATTCTTGATATTTAATTAAGTGTATTTTACTCTGCTTCTGTGTTTTATTTTTTTGTCATATATTTGTGTATGTGTGTTTATTTATTTTGGAAATTTGACCAAGAAGAACAGTTGAGGCTTTGAGGTGTTTCTGTTCCTATGGTAGGCTGTTTGAGGCTTTTTTCATATGAAGCTGAATGTTACTAAAATGAGTGCTAGTGAAATACTAACTGCTGGCAATTATATTGCATCTGTAATTTCAGAGTTAACGTCACATGAGCAATTAAACTACCTCTTGTTTTCTATACCTACAGATTTGCATGCAGAATAAGAACAAATACAACATAGATACGTACTCAGCTGACACTTTTCAGTTACTTAATTTTATGGTGACAAAGAATTTCTAGTAAGACCATTTGTCCTTCCATTGTTCTTATATTACTTTTGAACTTAGCCCACAATACTGTGGGAGAATCTAGAGGTCAGGAAGGAGAACTGATAGTATTACCAATAATGAGATTGTAGAGGACGTAGGAGAAGCTGGGATAATTGTAGGAGTATGAGGCAAGGATAGGAAATACTCCAGGATAGCAAACTTCATTGGTTCCACAGCTCACAAAACAACTAGATTTGCCTTGACAGCTACTTTAGGATCTCAGGCAGCTGATACAGAACTTAACTGAGAATGTGAAAACTGCATTTGTTTTCCTGTTTGGAGAGAAGGAAAAATCTTTCATGGTATCTGAAACCTGTAAAAAAGAAATGGAGCTGGGACAAACATTAAAGAGAAACTATTGTAAGAAAGAGCCAAGCTGAGATCTTAAATAAGTAATTTGTTATCAACAGCAACAATAAAAAATTGTAGGAAGAAGTGAAATATGTGTGGAGACATTTAATTTGGTACCTCAGATAAGTGTTTTGTCCTTGAAAAAATAGAGATTAGACACTGATTCAACTATGCACAGGGGAGATCAGTATCTTAGCTAATGACTAAGGGGCAAGTAGTGAAATTAGAGCCATGGTGAGGAAAGATTGGTAATGACTGTATGAGGCATGAGACCTGCAAATTTGGATCTCATAAGAAGGAATTAGAGCAATAAGCTGCTTCCTAAAAGCACAGCAAATGGTGTCACTTTCAGGGTGCTAAATATTCCGAAGAATGATGAAGAGCTCCCTGCTGATTACAGTTCACTTTGCAATGAATAGAAGTAATTAATTAATATATACCCAAAATAGGAATCCTTTCAGAAGGCTGTCATGAGTGCATGAGAACAGTGGTGAGAGTTTCTTGTGGCAATCATAAGGGTGAAAGAAGAATAGAACCGTAACAGAGTCACCAAAGGAATAAACAGGAGGTAGCTGTGCAGCAGGAGCATTGAAATGGAGTAACAGGAGGTGACTGCTTACAACAATATTGTCCTTGCCTCCAAGAATGGCAAAATTAGTTAACAAGCCTCCTGGAAGCAAATATGTAATGTTTATTGAGACACGATTTTGCTCAATGCAAACAATTTGAAATTTACTACTGGTAATAGAAGCAGCATTATGTAAAGGCTTGCCCTTTCCTGGGGAAATCAAAATCCCCTTGTGTGAAGAAACTCTTTGCAAACATTTTGTAAGCAATGTTCCCTCCCATGCAGAACTTACAGTGTAAATGAGTAAGGCAGGCAAATGATGTGATGGCAGTCGGTAACCTGGCTTGTTCACAGTCAGTAGCAAAACGGATAGAATTAAGTCTTCTGTTTCCCAATCCAGTACCATTTCTTTTTGACAGTGTTTCCTCTATGAAGTAAATGTAGAAAATACAGTTCTTTGAAACAGAAAAAGACTAAGCATGTGATTAGTAGCAGGACTCATTAGCTTTAGTGCAGAGACAGCTTCTAAATCAGAGTAAGCTTGCACTTCATCTGGAGCATAGGCGTGGAGGGTTTGGTGCTTTCCTAAAATTATTTATACATACATTCCAGAAACAGACACGACTAGAAGTATTGTTAAGCACTGGTGTGTGAGCTGATGAGCATAACTGAACATGAATAAAAACGAATGGCATAATGGGAGTAGCAACATAGGTGATCATTTCTACAGAGGAGGGAAAAGAGAAGCAGTAGAGGAGAAATGGTGCTATAAGTAAAGTTAGTGTGCTGCAGTTTGACAGTGGTTTGGGTAGATTGTGCTTGGTTTTGGAAGGGTTTCTGAATAGTAAACTTTAGAGGTCAATCTAGAGGGCACCTGGTTCTACTGAAAGCACTTTCTAGTACTATTGTGTGAAAAACTCAAGGACAGAGAGAGCGCTTTGTGACAACAAGTCTCAGTTTGTATCTCTCACATTTTAAATATTTATGAAAATAGGATATGTTAATACCTTTGTTCTGAACAACTTCTTTAGCAGAAACAGGTATTTGAACAATGGAACACTGCATTTTATCAAAGAAGAACCTTGTGTACCTAAATTTATGGCAGCTTTCTTACTCTCTAAGCACAGCTCAGTGCAACAGAGCTTCCAGCAGTTCTTGTATTTCCCTGTTTCAGTTTACTTTACAAAGGAGAAACCTGCGGCGGGTGGAGGAAGCAAGCAGCCGATTCAATGTGAATGATAGAGCAAGCTTCAACTTTATTGAGAGAAATCACACCTTATATAAGCAGTCTACAATACACTACTTGCAACTCTATTGGATACATTAAAGAAACTACATTATAATATCTCAGCCATTGGGTACATTCAAAAGATCACATTATAATACCCCAGCCCCTTGTGGCATTTCTGGTATGCATAAACATCTTCCTAGCTGTAAACCTGCTTCTCTCCCAGGGCTGCTTCTCTTCATCCCCCAAGGTCGTAGTGCGCCCCCAACTTATCTCTGTGTTCTCACAACAATCCTCACTAGCAAAACTGAGCCCTGGATCTCCATCCTTGTTTACATAACTGTACCCTGGGTTCTTTCCTTTGTTTACCTCAGGTGGCTGGGACCGACTTCTGCAGGGAGCTATGGCCGACCAGCTCCTGCAGGGAGCTATGGCCTTGCTCTCTGCAAGCCGTTCTCCAACAGAAACCAGGTGATACAGCGCAAATTGTGTCCCTAACCAGCAACCCCCCTCCATGTGCTCAATTTTAGTTATAAACCCCCAAACACTAAGATTAGAATGGGACTTTTGACATACACACAAGTAGTGCCTTTTGTTGCAACCTACCGTTTTGTATATAGGATATGAAATCACTCACAGGATCATCTTTGATATTCAGCAGTTTTGTGGGC